CCAGTTTCTGCCCTGATCCCCCAAGACATTAAAGGCCTTCATGCGTTGCCCACACAGGCTGAGGGCCACAGGAGGGCCCACCCAGGGCAGGCCTGCTCTCCAGACTGAGCTGGCACTGTCCTGGTGCACCGTGAAATCACCTTTACTGATCATACTTTCCGAAGAAGGGGAAGGCACCCCCAGAGCCTGAACTCAGAGGCCCAGGTTTGGGGCTGGTGTCTAGGGAGCTGGCCGGCCCAGCCTTGGGGTGGCAATTTGGTTTCTTAGTAAGCTGCCTCAAGAAGTGAGAACAGTTACCAATTCATCTCTTCATAGAAGCCACAGGATGTTTGGGCCCTGCCTCTGTGTGCACCTTGAAGGGACAAAACACTTGCTTGTTCAAAACTGTCTCTTGCAGACATGGCAACCGAACAAGACTATCTCCCCTGGCCATGCCCAAGCCCCGTCCGTCTGCGTTCTAAACCGGGATGGCCCGGAGAGGTGGCGAGGCTCTGGGCTTTGGGAGAAGTGCGAGAGGACTGGGTGAGTGGTGGGCGATCGGCCTCAGAGAAGCTAGGGTGAGGCGGGCCCCCGGGAGAGCCTGGCCCTCATGGGACAGAGGATTCCCGGGCTGCTGTCTACATGTGATGGCAAGAGGCTGGGCCGGAGCTGGATGGGTTGTCTGGGTCCTTGGGTCCTCCTGGGGAGATCCAGCACAAGCAGTGGAGTTTGTGTCGAGCAGAACCGAGACAGGCATCAGTGTTGGCCAAACACTGACACACACCTTAAGAAGACAGAGGAGAAGCACAAGACAAAATACGTGTGGATGTACAAAACCCAGAGTGCATGGCTCCCCGCCCCGTCTGTGAACAATCCTCGAAAGAGGCTGACAAAAGCACAAATGAATCCACCAGAGGCCTCGGGAAGTACGATGGGGTGGCTCCCAGGTCCCACTAGCTGGGACCACGGGGGCGCAATAGGGGCTCGCTGTACACGTCCCTCCTGAGCGCGCCAGCTTCTTCTCCATCCTCTCGCCATGGACCCGTTCGGTGCCAGAGTCCCTGTGTGTGCTTAGAGCATTTCCATTTTATGTTCACGTGGGCGTCTCCTCGTTTTCTATGCCCCAGCTTCGACTGGGTGGGTCAGGTTCCTGTTTATTCTGTTTCCCACTTGCTCAGCTAAGGAGTCCTAATGCGCTTTCCTAAAGGGCACTCGTCTCACCGTGGCCGGGGGAGGGGCCGGGGGGGTCCCCAAGGCAGCAGCGGGCAGAGGGTCTGGAGTGCTGGGCACAGCCCCATTTAGGAAAGCGCAATAGTTCAATAGGGGAACCCCTCCCTTTCCTCCCACTTCTAAAAGAGCACACATTTCTCTGTTATTTGAAAATAACAGGCCAGCTACAGATGACAGAAGCCACATATAGACGGTATGGGTCCCCAGTGACTGAGGAGCCTCCATGTGCACCCACGACCACCTACTTTGGGGTTTATTTTACAAGAAAGGAACAGCCTCTGCATCTGCCTCCGGTATTTGGGATTTTCTGTTACAGGCAGCAGTGATGGGCACCAACATTGCCCTGTTCAAACGTTTCCTCTCTATCCCTGTGGGAGGATGGAATATTCCCATTTTAGGAGGACAGGCTCGGCCGCATGACCAGCTTTGGCCAGTGAAGACTTGGCAGAAGTGACCTGCGCCACTTCTAAGAGAGGGCTTGAGAGCCCCTGTGTCATTCCAGCATATTCCCTTTTCCTCTGCCACGAGCCCACAAGGAGACACTCTCATCATCCAGGTCCCAAGGTGAAGTGCAAATGGAGCAGAGCCTTAGCCCCCACAATGGACCAGCTGTTTAAGCTAGAATTATATCTTGTGAGCCCCTGAGATTTTGGAGTCACTTGTTAACACACATAACCCAGTCTATTCGGACAAATACAATGCTCAAACATAATCCTAGTTATTGGTGTTTGTTCTTAAAATTGATCTTTTTTTTTTAATTTTTTTTTTTTAAGATTTTATTTATTTATTTATTTGAGAGAGAGAGAGAGAGAAAAACAGCATGAGAGGGGATAGGGTCAGAAGGAGAAGCAGGCTCCCTACCGGGCAGGGAGCCCGATGTGGGACTCGATCCCAGGACTCCGGGATCACGACCTGAGCCGAAGGCAGTCGCTTAACCAACTGAGCCACCCAGGCGCCCTTAAAATTGATCTTATTCAACAATGCATCATGCCCTCTAACTGTGTAATCACCACGCGGGGCTTATAATTGCCCCCGTTTTCCGAGAAAGTGATGATGGGGACATAGAGAGATCAGATCGCCTTCCCAGGACTGCACAGCCAGTCGGGAGAGCAGAGGCAGATTTCAGACCCAGGACTCAATCCCTTGCTCATTTTCCTGCAAGCAACTGCCTCGTGAGACAGGAGCAGTCTCCCGAGCATCACAAGCGAAGAGCTCCAGCATAGGGTTTTCTCACCCAGTTCCATTTTTTGCTGGAGTGACACACGGTTCTAAGTTTCTGATGGTTACCCTTGGAGTCTGACTGACTTATCACAAGATAAGGATCCTCCAGCCCCCAAACTTTCCATGCTTTTTAAAAAAAGATAAAAAACTTTAACTGTTGGTGCCCAACTCCCATTGCCAAACTGGGCATAAAAATGAACGTTTAATTCAAGCACCCCCTACTCTCTGAATTAGAGGCCTGAATAATCAGTTTTCTGAGTTTAGGGGGAGGTTATCCTCAGGCTCACCTTTGTGCAGTAATTCTAGGCTTCTTGCTAGACGCAGAGCTCAGGGGTGTGTAGCTAGCAGAACAGGGTCCCTGTTATCCTGGAGCCTGGGGCTCACTGACCTTCCCGCTTCACACTTCTGAGTTTGGCAGAATGGCTGCCTCCTTCAGGAAACTCAGGCCGTCCCCAGCCATCTCCCTGGGAGAAGGCAAAACTTCGTCAAGGGCGCCTTTCATGAGGGGAAAAAAAATCATCCAAAAACCTCACAGTGGCATAAACCTAACCATTCAGGGTCCCCTCACAGATTTTTCTACACAGGACTTTGAGTGGGCGGGGGACGGGAGGTGGGAACCCAATGCAGAAGAGAGAAGAAGGAGCTCCTTGAACTTGATTCTGAACATGAGCAAGAACACTGTGCAAGTTTCAGTTTGATGGGGGGGTGGGGGGGAAAGCAGGGAAAAAGCATTAACATTTCCATAGACGAGACCATTTGTTTTTATCTTGACATTTTCCCTACCTGAGTTTTTATGTAAGTGGATTTCTGGATCTCTGGGCTGTAATTTGGGGCATATTTAATGATGAAAAACGTTGGTTTGGACCAAAGCACACTCAAAAGCTCTGCTTCTGCAAAGCTGATTTATTACCTCCTGCTCCTCTTCAGGGACTTTTCTGATCAAGGCTCTTTCTGACCTTCATGCCCGTTCTGAGCTGGACAAGTTAGAGACCACCCTCCGCGTCCAGCCTGGGCGCAGGCCCACTATAGGGACTAGGGAGAAAAACTTGCTGGGCTGGAAAGGGTAAAATAAGGCTGTGCAAAGAACGGTGTTGAAGCACCAGAGGTGATAACTCTTTTGGAGTGTTTGGGTTGCTATCTGCATGGAGGAGAAGGGACTGTTACTAGCTCACCCATGAGAGAGGTGGATGCCCCAGGCTGGGAAGGGCCATCATATGGTGGTTTGGACTTGGATCATGATTTCTGAGATGGCTTGAAAAGTCAGATGCTAAGGGGTATCTAGAATCATGGCACCAAGATGGATCCCAGAACTCTAGAAGAGTGAAACTGGTTTCACTGAACTCCAGGATTAACTTCTTCACGTTCAGCCTTTGACCCTATCAGATAGCCATGAATAGATTTAACAGAATGGTGCTCACTGGCCCTGAGAAGTTACTCCAGGTTGATGGCATGGATGTCTTTAGAGCTTGTGGGTTTCATAAAGGCACAGGAAACCCCAATATCACCAGCAAGACTTTTAGCAGGACTCCTCACCACATGCTGTCCTGTAATGGAGGAGATGGTAAACCCCCCTCCCTGGTATTTAAAGTACTTTTTCCCAAAGGGAGGCTGGGTGGGGAAGAGGCTCAAGTCACCTCTATAGTGGACGGGGTCTGAGTGAACGACTGTGGTGTAACCACCCCAAAACAATAGTGTTAGTTATTCCTCGCAAGTCTATAGAAAAACTATGGTTCTCTGGTATGGCCTCAATGAGGTTGGATCATGGCTTGGCTCGCTCATGCTCTTTTCTCTCTTCTCAGCTGGTGAGATGGCTGGAGACCGGCTGGTCCAGGATGGCTTCACTCCTATGTTAGGTGACTGGCTAGTTGTTGGCCGCAGCAATGGGGGTGACTGAGTCATGAGTCTCTCAGCATCCAGCAGGCCAGCCCAGGTTTGTTCTCTGGGTGATGGCAGGGTTCCAGAGAATTAGAAGAAGTATGAGAGGCTTTGAAGAACTATCTCAGTGCCACTTACTACGTTCCATCAGCCAAAGCAAGTCATGTGGTCAGCCTGGATTCAAGGATTGGGGAAATCAACCCCATCTCTTGATTGGAGGAGCTGTGAAGTTTGTTATCGATGGCAAAGATGCAGGCAGATGGAGAATTAGGGACATTATTTGTAATCAGCCTACACAGAGGGATTGACTGTATTTGTGAGACGACTGACCCAGGCCATGGGTGTGCCGTGTGACCTGGAACCCAAGCCATCACTGTGTGAAGTGAGTAGACCCACAGAGTAATCAGACCACAGCCCTGACCTCCATGGGGCTATCTCCCTAAGCAAGCAATTGCAGGGCCAAAGGGTGTCCCGCATTCAAAATATCGCCTATGGTTTCTTCTCTCAGTACCTTCCTGAGCACTTCCTGCGTTTTACGGAAAGGAAGACCATAAAATCGGGGCATTAGTTTTTCATGAATATTTCTTTTTGAAACAAGGTTTGAACTCACTAAGCATTGTTTTTTGGAAACACCCCATCACAGTATGTCTGCTCTGTAGTTGGATGGGTTCTTGCTGACTTCCTAGACACTCTACACATGGAAGAGTTAGGAGGAGTAACCTACGGCTTGTGGCTGAAGGGCTATAAATCAAGCTTCGTGAATCCAGGCCACAGATGTGACCTACCAAGGACAGTAGTGAAGCATGGCGTCCTGTCCACAGTTAGTGAGATCAGAGCGCTCCATCACTTACCTTGTATGTATGAGTTGGCCTTAAATTATGACCTTGAAGAGCTCTAGGGCCGCCTGCACAGGCTGATGATGGCTCCATCTCTGAGAGAAAAGGAGCAGACCGGTGGGGTGATCAGATTCCCGGGTCACCCCACCTCCACCCTGTGGTGATCGTATTGGAAAAATGGAAACCTGCTTCTCACCAAAAGGGTGATGTGGCAGATATCGCTGGTTGCCTGCCAAAAAGCTCTTCCTTACTGCCCCCCTCCCCTCTGTGCTTTCTTCCATGCCAACGGCACCCGACTTTGGTTCTGGTACAGGTATCAAAAGCTGTGTGCTTTGGCAAGGGGGCACGCTCGCCCCAGCCCCAGAGAGTGAATGATGATTGCTCCAAGCCAACTACGGCAGGCCCTCGTTCCTTGCTAGTGATTGGTTTAAGGATGGACATGTGACCCAGTTTCTGGCCAATCGTACTTAAGAGGAAGCCCACTGAGGGCTTCTGGGAGAGATTTCCCCCTCATAAAAAGAGAGATGCACCGAGATAGACATTCACTCCCTCCTTCCTGCTGTTAGGCTTCGTTGTTAGGTGATGCAGTGATGTTTTGGGGCGTGGCACTCAGCTGCTCAACGCAAAGGCAAGGCCAAGAGAATCTTTTCAAGCTGACCTAAGCTCTGACATCATTGAGCCGTGGAAGCAACCTGGAGCCAGGGACAGGATTCTGCGGAGGGACAGAGGCAGCTGCGCTGTGTGTCGCTGCGCTGTCTGGTGGGCCACTGGTCCTGATCTGTCAGCGCTGTGTGATAGCGACTGTTAAGTGTTTTGGATACCACCCTTGTCCCTCGCTTGGAACCAGTGCCTCTGGATTTACTGTTACGTAGTGAAAATAAACCCTCCCGTTTAAGCCACATTAATTGAATATTCAGTTACTTACAGCCCAAAACATCCTAACTGATGTATATAGGGATCATGGGAACTCGGTCATGTCTGAACTGTGCGTGCAAATATTTCTCTTGCAGGCTCTGGGGGCCAGGAGCCCTGTCAGCATCTCCCCTATTCCTTCCCCCAACCCCACTCCCAAATATTAGGTAACAATAATGTTTCCCCCCATGTATTGGCTCCCTGATATATATACATATACATATACATGTATATGTATATGTATACATATACACACATATATACATATACATGTATATATACACACATATATACATATATGTATATGTATATATACATGTATATACATGTATGTATATATATATATATGTATGTGTGTATATATATATATAATTTTTTTTTTTTAAGGTAGTGGTGGTGGGGTAAAGACAAGCTATCTAATATCTGTGCCTGGGAAAGGAAGCCATCACAGCTCTATCGGTGCCCTGTATCTGCTCTTCATGGAAGGGTTGAGATAGAAATTTATCCTCCTTGGCAGAAAGTAAGAGATTTAGCTAAGGTCTACTTAATCTGTCCATTTGCTCTTTTGCTATACCATTTGATTAGCCATATTGATAATGTCCCTTTTAGGAATGAGGCTTGGGTATCCATCAGTCAACGAGACAACCAATCAATGTCGTTGATGCACGCCATCGGTAAAGCAGGCAACTTCAGGGTGAAGGTCTATGGACACACTCGCTGCATTGTACTGCAATTATTTTTTTCCGTGTCCATCTTCCTCCTGGGCTGTGAGCAACTTAATGGCAAGGACCACATCCTTAATCTCTCTTTTGTTAAGTTTGGCAACAGGGTCTGGCCCATACAGGGTGCTTGATAGATGATTTGTTGAAAGAAAAAAAGAACGTATTATATACAAAATTATTTTAAAATGCACGTCCTGCCAAGAGTAGATTACTTTTATGGCCACAGAATAACTTACTTTCTATCTGGCTGCCCAAAAAAATTCTAATTAGGGATAATGGAATATCTTATCCCATTTTTAAAACCAGGACATTCAAAATACAGTTCAAGGGGAATCAGCTTATCTTTCCATGGGCTTTTTGTGGCATATTTGTGCCTAGAAAGCCTTTTCTTATGGGAAGGATAATGCTTCCTAAAGCAACTCTCCTCCTAAATGGGAGGATGAGAAGTGAAAATATTATTCTCGGGGTTAAAAAAAAGATTTTTCATGAATCACTAAGTAGTGTGTTTGAACTAACTTTAAAAGCCAACTTAAGAAACTAGATAAAATATATTTCTATCTCTGCTAACCATCTCTCACCATGTCAGCTCATCTGAAGCCTCCCTGAGATCCTTGAGGGACAGCATGTAAGCTGTGCTTTAGATGGCCATCTGAAAACTCATCAAATAGCAAGGTAGAAAAAACAAAATCACCTCCAAAACTTTCGAATTGCATTGATCAGTGGTATAAAGCCCTCGCCACAGGAAGAGAAATGATGGATTTGAGACTCACAGAAAGGTTCGTTTAAAGTGTTTTGTGTGTGTGTGTGTGTGTGTGTGTTTGAATTTATGTATGGAATTGCCTGGGAGTAGTAAATAGACTTTATTTGCTATATTTCGAGGAAGATAAAATTATCAGGACTGTCTAAGTATTTCAAAGCCAGGGAAAACAAAAACAGCTTTGAAGGCTCTCCTTCTGGATTTTTTTGTCCTAATCTTCTAAGAGATGGTCTTGATAATGTTTATTCTTTTCTTCTTCCTAAAACAGTTCAAAGTACTATTTTTCTCAGTTAAAATAGCAATCCGATTTTTAATTAGGTCAGGTAAGGTACCCATTGAGCACCACAGATTATTTAAGTGATTGCAAAAGGGCAAGCAGGAATTTCTGACTAGCATCTCCCCCCTTCTCCCCAAATCTCTCTCCTCTTCCTCTCCCTAACCCTGTGCGGCTCCCCCTGCTCTTTGTGGGGTGGGCTTCTAGTTTGGATTTATAAACACCATCTGGACAAGTTTCTCTTCTGTATTTCCCCAATAACCAAAGAGATAAGCCATTTCCGTCTGCTTGGAGACAATGCGTAGAGTTTTTGTTTCAATTGGAGGGCGCGGGCAAGCGGTGGGGGTGGAGGGGGAAACACTCTGCGCAGCCGTCGAAGACTGATGGGCGGGGCTTTCTTTTCAGTTTTCACATACCAAGAAATACCAGTTTTTCACCAAGTCCCCTGCGATTCTCCCCCACAGCCTGGAGCAGTGTTCGCCAACTTTTTCTGTAAAGGGCCAGATAGCAAATACTTTAGGCTTTGTGGGACATTTGGTCTCCATCACAACTACTCAAGGCTGCACACAGGCAGTCATAAACAACATGGAACTAAATAGGCATGTCTGTTCAATAAAGCTGTATTTACAAGAACAGGTTATGCTCTGGCTTGGAACATCTCTTGGTGCTTTGCCTGATGGGGACCCAAGCCATTGTTTTTTGAGTGATGGTGCCCTGTTTGTTCTCATAGGGAGGGGGTTGACCCAACAGTGGTTCTGACGCCTTCAGATAAGCCCATTGCACCACCCGCCCTGTGCCCAGGCCATGCCTTTGCAGATGGAGACCCGGGGGGCGTTATAGCATGTAGACCCTTGAACTAATGAGCTTACCAGCTGTTCTTATGGAGGTCCTATTGATGTCCCACCTCAGTCATGGTGATCAGCTTCTCCCCCGTCCAAAAATTCCATTCTTTGGCCTTCTCTTCACACTCTCAACTAGGGCTAACACAGGGTCAACACAGTCTAATCACAGAGTTCTTAGTTGAACAATGGCTGATGAAGAAAAGTCCAGTCACGTCTAATCATGGCACTCAAGACTCTTCCTAAGCTGGTAACAGGATGACTTCTCCATTAGGCCCCTTAGAGGCCCGAGAACATGCTTTAATTTATTTTAAAGTAGGAAAAAATGAGTATAATAATAATGAATATATGAATATATGATAATGAGTCCAGCCTGACTTTTATTCATCTTTATATCTATGCAGTTCTATATAGAATTTTTAAAAATTTCATAAACGAAGAGGCCCATGAAGGCAAAAGTATGTAGGGCCCTTCCTAAGATTACCATATAAAAGATAGAATGCCTGGTTAAATTTGAATTTCAGATAAACAATGAATGATTTCTTAGTGTAAGTATAGCCCCAATGCTGCATGGGACATACTTATCCTAAGAACTTATTTGTTGTTTATGTGAAGCTCAAATTAACTGGGCATCCTGTTTATCTGAAATTTAAGCTTTTATTTGTTAAATCTAGCAGTGCTGCAAGAATGTCATCCTGGGTCCCTGGCTGGCACCAGCCACAGCTGCAGCCTTCTCTCACATGCTCCTGAAGCTCAATGTCTTAGGTCAGGTCCCCAGGAAGCAGATCTTAAGATGAGGAGGTATGGGCAAGTAATTTATTTAAAGAAGTGCTCCCAGGGGAGACTTGTATGCTCGGAGGAGAGCAGGAATGTAGGAGAGGGAGAGGACGAGGCAGGCCAGGACAGGGGAGGAGGCTGAGCCAGGCTCAAGTGCAGACCGGGCTCTGCGGGGCGTGCATCAGCCTGACCCCACAGGGGAGTGTGGGTTGCACCTCAGAAATGTCCCAAAGGGCAGAGCACTGGTATTGTCATCTACACAGGCCAGAAAGAGAGGTTAGCCCAGGTTAAAGGCTTGGGAAGAATAGTCGCTCTGACCCCGTTAGCTTACTTTCCTTTGGTTTTACTCTTTAAGCCACAGGTGAGCAGCGCAAAGGAGAAAGGCGGATCGGCCTGGGTGATGGCAGAAACCTGGGCTGCTCCCTCACGTCCACCTGGACCTCACAGAGGAGGCCTCTCAGAACACAGGGGTTCACCTTATTGCGATAACAACCTTTTCTTTCTATGGGGCACCTGGCTGGCTCAGTCAGTTAGAGCATTCGACTCTTGATCTCGGGGTCATGAGTTCAAGTCCCATATGGGTGTGTAGCCTACTAAAAAAAAGAAAACATTATTTTCTCTCTTTGCCACTGTTCTTAGCTCGATGTCTTAACCCTTGCTGCACCATCAAGCATGTTCGACGTTTAGTTCTGGGGGCTGACCGAGGCCCTGCACTGTTGCCAACAGCCCCCCATCCCACTCTCCGAGCTCCCCGTTGTTCTCCAAACGTGTCACTCGCTTTCTTGCCTCTGTTGTTTTCCTTCTGTCATTTGCTCTGTCTGCAAACCCCTTCCCATCCTTTTCCATCTGGCAAATTCCTGTTATCCCTGCTGGCCCAGGAACATGCCCTCTCCTCTGTGATGTTTTCTCTTACCCCCGTCTTCGAGGGACACATTGCTCCCAGGCTACCTCAGACACACCTTCAAGGTCACTGATCCCTTATGCTACAATTATTCACATACACATGTCCTTCCTGGCTACCTGTGGCCTCCCTTCTGTCAGGGATTTGGTTTTACTTATCTGGTTATACCCCCTACGTAGCCCATAGTAGCTCCCGAAATGTTTGCTGTGTGAATGAAGGAATACAGAAATTCGATTGGCGGCTCTGTGCGCATGGGCCCTGCGCTGTGACCCACCAGCCCCACGCTCCTGTAGGCCAAGTGTGTGTGTGTTTATAGCACCAGCAAAGCAGAGACACCAAAATGGTAAGTGGGAGCGTGAAAAACAGTCCTCCTCAGATGCCACTGCGCTTCATGAAGCTTCACCGAAGCGAGGTGGATGGAGGGAGCAACGGCCCCCAGAGATACTGTGTTAGTCTCTTTTCTGTATGTCTGGGTTCCCTGACGGGGGTGTTCCCAACCCCCACTGGGGTGTGTTAAGCATCCGACTCTTGATTTCGGCTCAGGTCATGATTTCAGGATGGTGAGAATGAGCCCCACATCGGGCTCTGTGCCAAACGTGGAGCCTGCTTAAGATTCTCTCTCTCTCTCCCCTCTTCTGCCCCTGCTTTTGTCTCCCCCCCACCAACTCATACTCTCTCTCTCGCTAAACAAAAATTAAAAAAAAAAAAAAATCAAACCCAAAACACCCAGGCCTGATGGATAGTAGGTAGCCTGAGGTGAGGAGCACCATGAACTCCCATGGCCACACTGGACCCTTGGGACGTGAGCCTTGCTCAGACCTATGCTCACCCGTCCCTTTGGACACCCTCAGTGTCTGCTGTCCTTCCCATCAGCCCGCTGGGCAGCCTGCTCCCACAGCCAGAGGCAAACGGGTGAGGAGGAAGGAGAGAGCCCAGATGCTGGAGTGGACACATCTGGTTGGACATTGGCCCTGGCACTAACGAGGAGGGGAGGGGAATCTGGGAAAGTGGCTTCATCTCCATTTCCTCACCTGTCAACGGGAATAATGCTGTCTCATAGCAAAGACAGAATTAAATGAGGTCACTTAGATACACCAAACAGCATCAGTTCCTTTCCCTTCTGTTTTGGGAAGCTCTACCTGTTCCTAAATTTCTCGCTCCCTTTCCCCTCTTGACCCTTGAAGTCCAGGGTTCAAAGTACCTCCTGGTCTGAGAGAGAAAAGAAAAGGAAAGCGGGGCGCTCTCCCAGAGTCTGGCTGCACAGCTGAGCTCTCCTGGGGGCCCCCCCTCTCCTGCTCCCTGGGGAAAGCAGGGCCATGTTAACCCAAAGGGCCGTGGAACATGGGGAGCTGAATAGGGCACAGACCACACAGCATATTTTGACCAAACGGAAAAGACCCACATTATTAGGAAGAGTGATAATGGAATATTCCTGCTGACGTGAGTGGACAAAAGGGGATGAAGTGACCCAGGGGCAGGGAGGTGGAGGAAACTGGAATTTTCATCGTCAGGTGGGTCTGCAGTCTCTCAGGCTGGATGGAAGGTTCCCCTCACACGGGACGGAGCGCCTCTGGCTTTCTTGGGGACACAGGTAAGACTCACTGTCTGAGTAGTTCAGTGAGTACAGGGCAGCGTCCTTCCGGCGGAGAGGTGCTGGGTGAAGGTGAGATGTCCATTATGTCATTACAGTTTCCCACCCTTCCCACTTGCTTCAATTTCTGACTCCTTCTCTACCTCTTCCCTTTCACCACGGCCAAGTAAATAGAATGACTCAGAGATTCAGTGAGCTGCTCTCAATCTCCAATTTAATTCAGATAGTTTCCTCCTGTGCACAAAAAATTTCCCAGGTTGCTCCTTCAAGACAAATTATTTGGTTGCTTTTTTGTTTCGTCCCCCAATATCACACGTGGCGGCTGGGGGAGGGGTAAGAGGAGCTACTCAGTCCCCACGGTCCAGTAGGAGAGCCAGGGATGTAAATAAACGATTCTAGGACATGTGCTAAGTGCTGCCACAAAGCACTGTGTGAGATGCGGTGGGAACCCACAGAAACGAGTGACTGAGGGCCACAGAAGAATGTGCACACTTGGACTGCATCTTCAAGGGTGAGTCTGAGCTTGCCCAGATTGACAGATGGGGCAGAAAACATACCCAGTGGAGAGACCAACGTGTCCCAGGCTTCCCATGCACAGGTCGGTTTGGCTATAATACAGGGTATTTGAGGAGAGAGCAAGAGCTAGAGCCAGACAGGTAGGCTGAAGCCTGATCAATTCACTCAACAAATATTCACTGGATAACTCCTGTGCACCAAAGACTGTGCCATGTGCTGGGGACACAACAAGGTGTGAGACCGTTGTGGTCCCTGCCTGCTCAGGGTGCACCTACCATGAAGGAGACACAGGAAACCAAGTGATCGGTGCCCCATCCTGAAGTGACTTTGGAGGCTGTGTGAAGGAATGTGGTTTTTCTGCAGTAGGAGATTAGGAACGGTTGAAGGATTTTGAACAAAAGAAAGTCATGCTCATTTTAACGTTGTAGTCTGTGGAAGATGGAGTGGAGATAGGTAACACCAGGGAGAGGAAGCCAGGTAGGAGGCCAGTGTGATAATCCACGTAGGATATGACAAAGGACTTAATTAGGCAAGAGGCGGTTTTCAGGAAGTGATCTGGCTAGGTGGTCATACCCTGACTCTTTAGCAAAGACCCCTCTTTTTTTATTATGGTAAAATACATATAACATAAAAGTTACCATTTTAACTATCTTACAGTGTACAATTCAGCAGCATTTATTACATTCACAGAGTTGTACAGCTATCTCCATTATGTAGTTCCAGAGCATTTTTATTACCTTAGAAGAAAACTCTATAATTATTAAGCAATCACTCCCCATTCCCCCCTCCTCCCGTCTCCTGGCAACCACACATTTACTTCCTATCTCTATGGATATGACTACTCTGGATATTTCATGTAAATGGAATCCTATAATATGTGACCTTTTGTGTCTGTTTTTTTTTTTCTTCACTTAGCATAATGTCTCCTAGCTTTATCCACATTGTAGCTGGTATTAGTACCTCATTACATTTTATGGTTGGCTGAATAATATTCCATTGTATGGATATACCACATTTTCTTTATCATTCCTCTGTTTCAGACATTTAGGTTGTTTCCACATTTTGACTATTGTGAATAATGAAGTTATAAACATTAATGTACAAGTTATTGTATTGCTTTTTTTTTTTTAAAGATTTTATTTATTTATTTGAGACAGAGAGAATGAGAGACAGAGAGCACGAGAGGGAGGAGGGTCAGAGGGAGAAGCAGACTCCCCACTGAGCAGGGAGCCCGATGCGGGACTCGATCCCAGGACTCCAGGATCATGACCTGAGCCGAAGGCAGTCGCTTAACCGACTGAGCCACCCAGGCGCCCCTGTATTGCTTTTTCTTGAACTCCTGTTTTCAGTTATTTTGTGTATATACCAAGGAGTGGAATTGCTGAGACCCCTTCTTTTAACTTAAACATTTTAGTTCCCAGAAAAATCTATTTTTTGGAACACTGACAGGAAAGTTTTCTTCACCTGCCTAAGGATTATTAATGCCAATTTCTTTCAGTTTGACTTTAGTGGTATCAGCTTCAATCCTAAACTTTTGCCTGGGGCCTGCCTGCCTGCCTCTCATCAGCAAGAAGTGATCTTCAGGAAGGGTCTGGGTTTTCTGAAGTGGTCGTGGAGGCAAATTGGCTTGGGATTCCTTGACCTAGAGACATATGGTCAAATTTCTTGACTAAAACAGAGTCCATATT